AATTATGTTAATTGAACGATGGTCTTGACAGTGAGCGATAGGCCCGACAAAAGAGGCCCCCGACTGACAAAACCTTTGACAAAGACACTTCAAGCCATCGAATTAAATTGCAATTTGAGCGTGTGTGCGTGTGGGCCAAACAATCATCGCACAAAGTCACAGAGGTGTGGAATGGAATGCAAGACTTTGGATGCCCAGAGATCGGTGCAGCATCTCCGAGGCGAAGGTCTTACGTGAGCGGGTTGCGTGCTCGGAAATAAGGCCCCAAACACACTTGACGGGCCAAGAAACACTGTATTTATGTTATGTGAAGATGGGCCCAGACAATAGAAGCGATAATCATGCCTTAATTTATTCCTAATTGCGAACAAAACGTACCAAAAAAGTCTGCCGTGGGGAAATGAAAAAGGGAAAGGACACGACCCTTGTGTGGGAATAAACCCAACCGGAAGCGTCTTCGTGCACTGCCAAAAATAAGTAAAAAAGTCAAGCTTAATAGTTTGAAGCAACCAAAAAATAAAAATTGTGGTTAAGAAATAAATGCAATATTATTTAGAAACAATTAATAAATTTAAAGCTACTATTGAGGGTTCTAAAAAAATTATCATGTTAATTGCAAGTAATACCGGTTAAAATAATAAGAAGTTAAAGTAATACAAAAAATAAATAAGAAGAGATTAAAACACAAATCATTTTTGCTGGTTATTTCTTAAGATAATGTTACACAACAACATTCCCACGCGGCTTTTGAGGTAATATTTGACTTGCACTTAAAAAGTATTACTTCTTTCAACTTAAATTTATTCGACCATGTAAGCGCGCAAAATATTGTAGATTTTAAAACCGGCAAACTATTTGCTTGAAGCAAAAATTGCGACATGCTAACACAAAGTAGAAAGCGCTTTAAATTTGCATTACTTATGACCACACAGCTTTAGAATTTATGGGATATGTTTTTCCAAGTGCACAGATGATGCCTGTTTGCCTTTCACTTTGCAAAATACCTGCCCGAAGAGCCTTTTACTTATTGACCAATGGGTATGACAATGCAATTTCTTTCTCTTATTATTTTCCAGCACTTTTTTGGCCCCTTTGCAGTTGCAACAATGCATCTTGGCCCGAAGGTTTGGCCAAGGAAAACAATCGTCGGCGTCAGCTAATTGCCGTTGAAAGTGTGTACATTTAGCCAGAAAACATTTATAATATTTTATGTTTACTCGTCACACGGGGCGTATACTCACTAACGTATTGGCCATTAGCTGTCACATTTGACCAGGAAGGGTCTTCACACGCCACGCCGAAGCCAAGTGGTTCGGGCAAGAAGTATTGCGTAAAGCTCTCAGACATCGGTCCCAAATGTGGGTTATATAAAAGCACCGAAAGAGCAACAGCATCAGAAACAACTGAAGATGAGATGCCTTCAAAGCGCTGCGTCATTGACCACAAAACAGATATTGGGTTTGAGCCAAACACGAGCGAAAAAAAGAAAAGAAAACACACCAAAGCGATACATTGGTGGCCAGCGCATCTCAATAAGTTCGACTACAAATCGGCATTATATTGATGAATCATGGCCCACGATTGCCGGACGCTGGGTGGTGAATTTTATGAAGCCATCAATGGGAAAATCAAAAGATTTGGGCAGGGCAATGTCGGTACATATTTGGGCGATGAGAGCAAGCATTAGTTCCTCCTGCCAGCGAATAGTTTCTTTTCGGTCAGGCAAAGGTCGGCAAACACACCATAAACATTGTGCAAATTGGGCAGCGAAAATTGTCGGATTTAACACCAGCTAGCAATCGGCGTGTTTGTGGACCACTATTGCTCTGATCTTGACCGATATTCTGGCCATATCGAGGTGAGATCGGAACATCGTTACACTCAATCAAATAAAACAGCCCGGATTGTAGTGCGAAGGTTGAACGAGGCTAATTTGCGTCTGCAAATTTGCAAATTGATTAATTGGCGAGTGGTAAATGGTCGGTATATGGGCAATACAGCCTGCCCTAAATGGAGCCACCTTCAACCCAAATACCTATATATATATAAACATGTGTATCTGTTCTTAATGAGTTGCACATTACTTCAGGTCAAGAATGCTCCATGGGCACCATGACTAACCCAAAACCAATCCGGTTTCTTCGGCAAGGTTTTGCATTAAGCGAACCGATTGAGGCGCAGACAATGAACCGAAACTGAATCCATATAAAAAGCGATGCCAATAAAAACTGCAGCCGCGGATCGGTGGCTAAGTATGCATAAACAAATGTTCAGATAAGATTGTTAGGTTGGCCATTCGCCTTTTGTGGCGCACTTTTGCATAGATTTACACTGATTGGGATACAAATGGATGTCCAATTTGGGGTGCCAAATTGTCTAGCTTAAAGTGAAATATTCATCAATAAAGACCACACATCACTTCTTGTTTTCCATTTGGCTTTTTGCGTCCAATTGCCCAATTATTGCCCACTGAATTTGGCCAACTTCGAAGAGAATCTCTTTGGCAAGCAACCTGTTTGTGATCTGAAGTCTAGTATTACAGCACATTCAGGTGGCATAAGACTATCCATAAAAGATAACAACTGTCTAGAGTCTAAAGACTTAAGACACAAACTCGAAGTCGAAGTCGAGAAAAGTTCGTTGCCTAAGTCATTTGTTTTTGAGCCTGCTGCCAACCCGAATTAAATAATTGTAATCCGACACCCGTGAAAAGCAATTAAGGCCCCGCCACAACAACAACAACAGAAACAGAAACAGAAACAGCAATTATTCAGTAAAATGAAAACGGGAAAAATGAAAACTGCATTTTACTCACTTGCCGCCTGCATGATCAGAAAGCCAATCACAAAAAAGTTCATTTTTGCCACTTTTTTCTCTGTCGAATTTTGCTTGAAAATTTCTTTCTTCGGAAATTACGATGATTAGTTATTTTCGTCGGATGCGTGTAATTTTCTTTACGATTTTCCTCGCACACTTATTCACTCACTTTTGTGGTGTTCGGAAAAGCAAACTGGGGGGAAACACAATAAAATTTTATTATCGCTGTGTTCGCGACTCGTGCCGCAGATCGGAAGCGGATAGTTGATTTAATTAAATTTAATGAACTTATTATTTTTATCAATTATTTCAGCGCGGCGGTGGAAGGAAAGCAATGAAATGCGCGTAGATTGAACGAAAATACAGAAATGTATATAAAAAACCAAAATAAAACCGGTAGACACAAGAAACGCAAATGAGCGGGGTAAACACTCTCACTCTCTCTTTCGGCGGTAAAAGCGGTAAAAGATGGGCGGACGGAGGCGGCGACGCGACTGAGATGCGCCGATAATCGCGGTACGCTTGCGTAGGCGCCGGCATAGGCGGTGGCAGAAGCGGCGGCAGAGACAGCGGCGGACTGGAATGTATTATTGTTGAATCTACCAGTAAACCTAACCTGAGTACAAAAAAAATCCTATCCCACTTACTTGTAATTTTGTATTAAATTTTTATTACCAATTTTCTACCAATTGGGGAAATGTAATCAAATTTAGAGACGATATAAAAGAGTTTTCGCTCACGATTTTTCAATTTTTTCAAAATTGGTATAAAATTGAGTTTGATCACATATATTTTAAGCGATAACCATTTCCGAAAAAGTGCATACGAAAATAATTTCCTATAACTAACTCAATTTTTGAATGCAAAATGACTGAACAAACTTCGAAGAGTTTTTTCTTAAATAGTTTGTTTTATTTTACATTTTTGAACGTTGTTTTGGAAACCAATTACTAACATGAGAGTTTTTATGTTTTGCAATTCGTACCACTTTTAATTATGTTTAACTGCTTTTCAAAAATTCAAATATGCAGTACAAGCACTTCCGCTTCACTACTTAATTAATTGCTAATTTCGCACAATAAATGCAATAGAAAGCCTGAATACGTTTTAACTGTTTTATTGGGATCTTAGTTATTTTTTTAAATATATCAATTAAACTGAAACGTATACGTAATGAAACTACTTGGTTTGTTGTGGATTTATGAACGAATCTGAAGCTATTTAGTTAGCGACACATCCAGCGGTACTCCAGTCCGGCACTTGGCTCCTTCGCTGCTCTCTTGAGCATAACAACAACTTTCCAATTGCCAGCGCTTTGGTTTGTTGGTCAGCGCTCCATAATTTCCTCGGCTGTCTGTCGTTTTGGTCTATTGTCACTGCCAACTTAAGGCGGCTGCGCACATGCCAACTACCAGCCACGCCCCCAAAAACAAACACACTGCGACGACAAACAACAACACTGCGTCGGCACGTTCAACGCCAACAACTAAAACAACAACAGTTCTGCTTGGTTTTGAAACTGGCAGCATAGGTAAAAGTTGTTTTCGATACGCTTTAATTTCGTTAGCTCTTTTGGCCGCGTTAATTTTTCGCCCGAAATTAGCGCAAAACGGAATTACACACAAAAACTGAAACACTTAACACTGCCCAAATCAATGTTAACCCGATTTAAAGGCACTCGATTTAATTTTGTAACTTAAGCACAGCCCAATATTTAGCGGTGGATCGGGTCCGATGATATTGCCTTGGCTCCACGAAATATTTGGATATTTGGACTGTGTTGTTGCCAAAGCGAAACGTTAGCGACTTACAACCTGCGGATATCGCGATCACCTGGCCAGGTGCGAAACTTAACTTGTTGCTCTGGCGCGCGGCCAACGACTGAAAGCCGAATCGAAGTTGGTATCGTGGTAAGCCGAAGAAACTCCAAATGAACGTGGAGCGCTCTCTTTCGCTCTCTCCACTTCTTTGGCAGCACTGGCCAAGCGAATAACTGTAAAATATATTTCCAATATCATCGGGAAAATCGGGAAATATATAATACATTTTTTCATGTTATATATTGTCACGTATAAACCAGTCAGTTTCTTTTTTTAAGTCTACAGATCTCATGTAAATTACAATAATAATTATTATAATAAATTTATCAACAGTTAAACATCTTTTTATTTTCAGTTCATATTTTAAAATGTTATATCATTATTTTTCGGGTGAAGGTTTGAATTCTTCATACAAGGAGTGGAAAACATTTGCGACAATTCGTTTATCCATTTTGTTAGCACTACAAAAAAATTGGAAACGGCATAAGTGAAAAAAACACTCACATTTTGTAAGCCTACCGTATTTGGAACCACTAATGACTGGACAGGATGAGTGCAAGGTCTTCAAATTCATGTCGCCCGAGTTGTGAAGGTTGTACCAAAGAACCGCCGATCCCTTTTTTGGTGTAACGGAAATATTAACCATTGGGAAAATCGTGGCTCCTCCAGATTCAACATCTCCCAGCTGAAAAAGATTTGAAATAATAAAGTCTATAATAATTTGCAAAGACTTACGTAAAACAAAACAGTGGCTATGCGATCCCCCTGTTGTTGGCGCACCTAAAAGGATTGTTAGAAGTAACAAGATTGTTATGAAATCCCCTAGAAATACTACCTGATCCGTCAAGTTATGGTAGTCATAGTGTAATATATAGTGTCCACCTAACCCGTAGTTAATCAGCGAGAACGCATCGCTCATCTCCAAACTTAGGCCGGTCATATCTCCCACCCGATTTTCGAGAGATTCGTCATCTACATCAATATATGAGTCCTTGGAGCTTCTTACATCGGACTTCTGACCCGAATCAACAAGGGATAAACTCGCTAGAGTTTAGCATCGCATCAATTTCGCTGTCGTAGATCACATCGTGGAAAACCACCATGTAAGGATCGGTACTGAGCTCTTCCATTTTCAGAGGAGCAATCCGTGTGAAGGGCGTCGTGGAGCTGTTGTAGCGACAATGGAGTCGACTTGGTTTTCTGAGGACAGCATTGCAGTTTCGCTTGCTCGCCAACTCTTTCTGAAAGTGTAAATTTACCAAGTTAAGGCCTAATACTTTTGGATTTTTCTCGAAATGATAGGAGGCGGCATTCAGTTGTTTGTTCTTCATCAAAAGTAATCCCCACGCCGTGTGCACTCTGGATCTGTTAAATTTAAAAACCTTGTAACTGAGTGACTCTGTGAATTTAGACAAAGAGGTGTTGAACCAAGCCTCGGCGAGATGTTCCTTCCTAATTTGGATGTGGAACTCTCCCAGGGCTAAGCAATCCTGAGCGGTCAGTGCTGTTCTGAAAGACATTTATGATTATTTAGCCAATTTTATTTATTGTATATTAACTTACTGTGGATTTGAGTACCCCGCCAATTTACCAGTTGCCAGTTCGTTCGGTTTGAGATTATAAAAGGACATCAAGTCATCAATACCGCGACAGGCTTGTTCTAAATCTAACGCGGTGGGTAACCGCGGTCTCATTTCATGTGCCTTCTCACTGTGCACTGAAAAAACATAATTTTATAATAAATATTTTGACTTTGTTGTTAAACTTGGTTTACGTAGTTCATCCTTATGGGACATATACACTCAAAATAAATTTATCCCTAAATTTTAGAAAATCGCCATTAAAATTTCTTTTTTCTAAATACAAGAAAGTTATTTCTAAATCTAAGGAAATTTTTCTTAAGTCAAGAAAGTTTTCCTTAAATCCAGGAAGTATTTCTTAAATGTAGAAAATGGTTACCATGAACTAAAATCACCCTAAAATCTAGAAAAAATGCCCTTAAAATTAGAAATAATTTTCTGAAAAATAGAAAGGCAAACGAAAATAATAAAATATTTTGGCAACACTTTTTCTAAAAATGAGTGCCCTAACCCTAAAATTAAGCTAACCCTAAATAATAGAAACATTTTCTAAAAAGTAGAAAGTTTTTCTAAAAAATAGAAATAGTTGTTTTCACATGCTCTGGCACACCAAAATGTTCAATGCCAGAACTTGTCAGCTGCCGGGCGGCTGTACTCGTAGCGCAGACGGTTAAAGCGCTTGGTTAGAAATCGAATCGACCCTGGTTCGAGTCCCAGAGCAAACTAATTTTTACCTTTTTTTTTAAGTTTTTTTTTTTAAGTTTTTTTTTTAAATTTGTTTTTTTACTCTTTTTTTTATTCCTTTTTTTTATTGATGGCAAGCGGTAAACCGAAAATAATTTGGTTTATATTTAGCTATTTACTATATACAACACATAAAATAAATTGCGATAGCATAAATATATACATATGTATATATGTATGTAAATAAGTAAAACGCGAATGGTCAAAATTATGCAATTAGTATTCAAATGTATTCTCCGCTTGACCCTTTACATACAATGCTCGGTTTGCCACAGCAAATTTAAGTGCTACAATGGCCCAGTATGTAGGCCGTTCGCTCCTCGCGCGGGAGACCCGGGTTCGATTCTCACCGACGGACAAGTAAAAATGTAAGTTTTTTTCATGAAGATAAAATATTAACTAATCATAATTTCTACATTCCCAATCTTCCGCAGTCCCGTAGTCCACATTTACAACAACATTTGGCTTTGGTTAGATAAGAAATCAAAGCGCAAATACATAATAATAAATACATAACCTTTAACATTCACAATATACAAGACACACAACGCCTGCATATGTATATAGGGAGGAGTACATAATATAAACGTATATACAAAAAAAATCATGATTGAACATGTTTTTTTGTTTTGTTTTTAATTTCTATTTTTTAGGAAAATTTCCTACTTTTTAGAAATTTTTGCCCTTAAATTTAGTAAAATAACCCTAAAATTTAGAAATATGACGTCAAAAAAAATCAAAAATATAGAAAAATGTGACCCTAAAATTTAGGGCGAGCTTGTCTTGAAGACAAAAGTAGGGCGATTTCCTTGACTTTAGGGTTAATTTTATTTTGAGTGTAGGTATAACGGTGCCATTTCCTCCAATCCGTATGTAGGCGATGTATCAGTCTAAAGCTGTTCACTGGATTACCCAAATACGTTTCATAGTCATTCTTCATATTGTTGTGTTCAGCTTTCATAGGTATTAGGGATCTGTGGAAGACTGCCTAGCTTGTAATTGTTTGAGGGGTATAGCTTATTTACTCTTACTGTTCTATCAAACGGAATTTCTTCTTCATTTTCTCCATATAACCCTTCAGGTTTTCGACTAGCTCATCCTCAACCTCTAATAGCTTTTTCATTTCTACTGTTGAGGCGGCAAAATATTTTTTTAGAACAGTTTCGGCAAATCCTTGGCAAAATATTATACAAGCACATACAAATGCCACAAACCTTAAATGTTTAGAACAGCGGTCGGCAGCGCCCTATTAAGTGAGCATAGCTTAACTAATTCCATTATACCTTAACCGACTACTTTAACAATTTAAAGTGTTCTCCCCTAAGTTTACGAGTCACTTGCCGCTTCGATCCAATAGTAAAATGCTCAATAATAAATGTATTAAATACGTTGCCATTTTAAGCGCTTTTCTAAGTTTCTTCAATGGGTTTGCAAATGCGGTTCCAAAGAAATCCTATGCCGCTTCTTCAGTAGAACTGATGAAACTTCTTGAGGTTGAAGATGAGCTGGTCGAGAATCTTAACAGCTACGTGGGAAAACTGAAGAAAAAGCTTTACTTATTGGAGAAGTATGTTTGAAGAAAAATTCGTGAAATAATTACAAATCCTTTAATTTCTTGTAGGTCCCTAAAAAATATGAAAGATGAGCACAACCAGATGAGGGATGACTACGAGACTTATTTAGGGAATCCTGTGAACAGTTTTCGCCTGATACATCGTCTACATACGGATTGGAGAAAATGGCATCATTATACTTCAAAATTCGATAGGGATGAATTAGGTATTATTCTACAATCTAAAATAAATCCTTTTAAAACGGATTAAATCTACTTTCAGGACACATTGAAAAGGCCCATCAAATGCGAAAAAGGCTGCCCACATCCTTGGATTTGGAACACGCATCCCGCGGAATAGATGACCTGATATCTTTTTATGACCTAAGGCCGGAAGAACTGGCAGCTGGTAATTTGGCAGGATACTTAAATCCAGAGTAAGTTTAAACAAGTTAGATAAATATAACGATATTAGTTTTATATCTTTCAGAACAGCAATGTCAGCTCAGGATTGTTATGCAATGGGCGATTTCAGCATGAGAGACAGAAAAGAAGATCAAGCGGAAGAATGGTTCAAGGTCTCCTTGGCCCAATTCAATGAAAATAAACCCCTATACAAAGTCAATCACTTTATCAGATTTTCCATCCACAGGACGTGGGCAGTTCTCCTGCTAAAAAACCAAGATCTTTCTGGCGCAACATATCAATTTGAACAGCAACCAAAAGAATCAGATAACAACCAACTTTCCCAATGGATTGCTGAGGAGATAATGACAAAAAAGAGCTGCCGCGCAATCTACCAAAAACCAAGTCGACTGCACTGCCGTTACAACAACTCTACCACTCCTTTCACTCGGATTGCCCCAATAAAAATGGAGGAGCTTAGTACCGATCCTTACATGGTGGTTTTCCACGATGTGATCTACGACAGCGAAATTGATGCGATGCTAAACTCAAGCGAGTTTTCCTTATCCCTTGTTGATTCGGGTCAGAAGTCCGATGTGAGGAGCTCCAAGGACTCGTATATTGATGTAGATGACGAATCGCTCGAGGATCGGGTGAGAGATATGACTGGCCTAAGTTTGGAAATGAGCGATGCGTTCTCGCTAATTAACTACGGATTAGGTGGACACTATACATTGCACACCGACTATCACAATTACTTTAACCAGGTGGCATTTATCCGGGACTCTGCAGCTGCCTTATAATAATTTGCAAATCTTTGCAGACTCGGTGGATAAAAGGGGATCGCTTAGCCACAATATTGTTCTACGTAAGTCAGATGGTAATATAAACTTCTTGGCTTATGTTTTTTTCAGCTAGGAGAAGTCGAATCTGGTGGGGCCACCATCTTCCCGTTGATCAATGTTTCCGTTACGCCCAAAAAAGGATCGGCTGTCTTTTGGCACAATCTTGACAACTCCGGCGACATGAATATTAGGTCGCTGCACTCGGGTTGTCCAGTGATAGTTGGTTCCAAATATGGTAGGAATAAATTTAAATATTAAATTCTATAATATGACATATTTTTATAGTGCTCACCAAATGGATAAACGAGCTGCCGCAAATGTTTTCCACTCCCTGCAAACCTCGAACCCCCTAAAAATCATGAATAATATACAAATATTAACGATATATAGAAATTGAGTGAATTCATTTAATGTCGCGCAGACTGTTTGCTTAAAGCCATATATCTATTAGCTAGTTTCCACCGCCGTTGCCCGGGTGAGGCGGTATTTCTGCACAACGTAGTGCGCCCCCTCCTCGGAAGTCAACTGCTTCGCATACTCCTCCTTCACGAAGCGATTGCTCACCGCATTCAGCGAGTCCTTGAGGAAGCCGAAGTGCACGATGGCATTGGGCACAAAGTTCAGCTCCAGGAGCGTCTCATTGGAGGGCAGCACTTTCTTCGGTGGGATGGTGAACAAGTGGAACTGCTCGCCGGGCTGGGTCAAAAACTCGCGTACAAACTCCTCCACTTTGGAGAGGGGCTCGTGCGGCTTGAAGATGCCCTGGAGCACAAAGCGATCGGGAAACTGGATGCGCAGCACACAGTCCTTGTACTGATTAAGCTTGGCCAGCATGGCCTTCTGACGCTCCAGTTCCCTTAACTTGGCTGTCAGCAGCGGGGCGTCGTCATCTCCGCTCGAAGTGCGCTTCAATTCGCGGAGCACCATCTTTAGATCGTTGACCGTGAGGTCGAAGAACGAGTCTGGCAGGTCGTCCGCATTCTTCTTGGACTCGTCCAAGGAGAAGAGCACCGCCTGACGTGGCCCAATGACATTCACCACTGGCGGTGGCCGCCCAGGATTGTCATCGCCTTCGTTCTCCTCCTGTTTTCGCCCGGGTGGATGGTGCATTGAGTATCCGGAGCCACTACCCCAGTCGTACTTGGGCGCCTCTGGCTGTGGCTGCTGCTCTTGGTTGGCTTTTTCCGAGGGTTTTTCTGGTTCACTTTCTTCCGGCGCCGTGCGCTTCAGGTTCTTGATCATGTTGCTGGTGAGGGCAAAGCCACCGCCTCCTCCGCTGCCACCGGCTGCCATTGCGGAGCGGGAGGTGCTGGGCTGATCGTCGTTATCCACCGGAGGCCTGGCAGCGGGAGCTTTGTAGACATTGGCCTGGGTCTTTAGCTCCTCGGGCTTCTTGTCGATCAATCGCATCATGGCGCGACCCTCCAGGATGCCCAGGGATTTCAGCGTGGTCTGTCGCATCTGGTCATGCCCAATGACCTCGCTGCGCATGTAGATGATGACGGGGCTCTCGTAACCCTTGACGTGCGTTTCGCACAGCTTCTGGACCACCAGCCAAACGGTGTCGTTGGGCGAGAAGTCGGCCTGCTGGCGGGATCCATCGCTCAGCTGGACGCAGACGAGCACATTGCTCAGGGTGCGCCGCTTCTCCGCTTGCTCCATCTCCAGGACACAGTTGTTGGGCAGGCCGCTGAACCGGAACTGCTGCGTCAGGCCGACCACCTTGTTGTGGAACTTGAGGCAGTGCTCCTCCGCGTCGTAGCCGTGCTTGGAGCAGGCCGTCTCCAGGATCTCCAGCAGCGTCATGTTCGCCGTCACGCTCACATTCTGCCGCCGCCCGTTGGGCAGCAGGATCGTGACGCGCTTGTCCATCGGGTTGGCAACGGCCCTGCAAGGATTCGATTCGGGTGGGTGTGGGAAACTACGGAGCAGGGGCCAAACTCACCTTTATTGACGTTTCAAGGAGAGGCTACGCTTCCGGAATTTAGCCGGCTGGAATCGGGATTTTGAGTATATCGATAGTCCCGCTATTTGTTTATTGCGCTGCGTGACTTTCGCATTTGCGAGTAGAGATGCGCGCGTGGCGTGACTATCGGTTAAGAGTACTATATTATATATAAATAATTATATGTATATCCAAAAACTTATTTTACTCTAGTTTTCGCCACAAAAATAACTATTTATTCATACTGCAGGCTTACAAAAAATGTTAAATCAAAAGCCCCATATCGATAGGTTCCTGTCTTACTTCCCCCTCTGTCGATAACAGCTGCCTGTGTATCGGAATATTATTGATTGCAGGAAGAAGAAGCAGCAGGAGAAGCAAAAGAAAGGCGCAGCTCGTAAAATCAAAACTGTTCAAAACGGAATTCTTTGCAGAACTAAACTGAAATTAAATTATTTAACTGTCGGAGGACATGCTCTAAGTTCCGGGGCAGTCCCCATCGAGTGAGTTTCAGCAATTTGAGTGACGCCCAGCGAGAGTGAGCTTTTTGAGTTCCGTGCCCGAAAATACGCCGATCCAGCGAGAGATACTTCGAGAAGTCCGTTCAGTCGCATAGCCATAATGACCAATCTGGAGAAGCAGCACGAGATGGTGAAGCGCAGCCTGGTGCAGTTCATCAGTGGCCACATCCCGGGGGCCGATTTCAGCGTGGTGGACGAGATCGTCCTGTCGTACATCATCTCGATTTTGGAGGAGGCCTCGCAGGACCCGTGCTTCGATGTCGAGGGCTTCGTGGAGATGATGGGCGCCTACTTCGAGGAGTTCCCCACCATTGACCAGGGCATCATCTGCGACTGGATCTACAAGCTGGCCAACGAGCTCACCGAGACGGAGAAAAACCAGGGTAGCCATGACGCCGTCAACTTGTCGCTCAAGTGGGTTTTTAATTCGTATTACCTGCTAAAAGCCATTGCATTTAATCTGTACTATATCCGCAGCTCCCTGAGCCTGTCGAGCATCATTCCGGAGTCCAAGTTGCGTGCCCGCAACTCGTCCACTTCCGAAAAGGACGAGCTCTCCTCGAACAGCAGCAGCAGCGGCGGGGGCAGCAATAAGCGCTCCCAGCACTTGTCGGAGACCAGCGATGGAGGCTCCACCGACAGCTCCAGCTCGACTTGTGACTACTTCTTGGACGAGACCGAAGTGCTCCAGGAAATGTTCCCGGATTCGGCCATTGCCGAGGTAAAATTAGTTACTAGTAATGGTAGTTCGAAAAATTATGTCAAATAGGGAATATGTTCATTTATGAAGTTCTTTAATTAATCTTCATCTATTGGCAGATCAAGCATTGCATCGCTATTTCCAAGGGCGACATCGATAGCGCCACCCAGATCCTCTTGCATCGCCAGGAGACTAATCAGTGTATTGTGGACAAGTCGCATACAACTTACATCAAGAAGAATGTTGTCGTCGACGATAATGAACTCAAGAATCGTATCATTGCTAGGTAAGTGGATATAAACCAATCTTAAAACCTACAGAAAATATACAAATTAAAGTAAGCGAACTATAAAACCAATATGGGCACTTCCATATTGTCGCTCGGGACATTTGCACACCTTTAAAGTTAAAAAAAATTGAAAAAAAAAGGATTTTAATTTTAATAATAGGCTTTTCTTTTCACTCTTCCCAAGCTCTATTTTGTGTAAAAATCTTGTACCACTTTTGGTTTTAAAGATATCGTTAAAAAACTTCCGTATTCGCTCGGGATAAAAATTATCCTCAATTACTGTCTGTTTTGCTTTTAACTTAATAGTTTAACATGTAAATGAAGCATTCAGTACAGAAAAATGTCACATATTAGCATTTCTAAAGGATAAATTAACAACTGAAGAAAGGTCCACAAAATAACAAACAAAAAAGCCAAAAACTAATTTTTGCGTATATTGGTGGGGTTTGTCATAAAAATAATCAAACTATACTCACAATTTTTAGTTAAGCTCATGATCAAACTATTTAGAAACAAATATCGGGGCAAAATCATGTGGAAATATGTTTTTTTCAAGTTTCTAGGTTTTCAAAATTAAGATCTCTTTTTTACACACATAGAATAATATTTTATTTGTGACTTGTGCTATTAGGTACTCCTATGTGGACAAGAACGCCACCCAGCGCGAGTACAAGCCGGTGGTGCCGAAGATGGAGCCGCGCAAGCTGGTTCGCTACCGGGACAACAAGATCGTATCGCTCAAGGGCGAGCGGTACACCGAGATCAAGCGTGACGAAGATGCTGAGTTAAAAAAACCCAAGAAGCAGATTCAACCGTAACTAAAGAGGAACAAAACCCTCTTCAAGTATTTTATCAAGAAGCAAATTAATCCACACCCCCGTAATTTATCCGCACCCTCGATCTTCGCCGGCAGCAGTAGCTGCAAATCCACCGGCAACAGCAGCAGCAGCCAACCCGTAACCGAGCACAGATTATGCAATCAGATGCATATTATGGGGATGACCACCGCTAAAAGCCATGCCAGCACCTATCCCCGATCCAAACCAGTGATTCCCGCCAAGCTTAGCCAACGTTTAGATGCTTCCCAACACGACGACGACGATGAGACGCGAGAGTTCAGAGACAAAGACGAGCCACCGAGCACAGCGAATCGGTTCCCATATCCGAGTGAGTACGGCCAGGAGTTTGTGGCATCGGTTGGCATGGTGGTGCTACTGTTGCTAGTTGGCCATGGCCATTGGACCTCGACCTCGACCTCTCATCGCGCCCATCCCCATGACAAAGACAGAAAGACTTTACATACCAAATTAGTTGATAGTTATGCTTTAGGACTACTCGCTTATGCAAATTTTGAGAGCCCATCCGCCGCGGTGGCCGTCTGCTTATGAGTCCCGTTGCCGGGAGCAGGCGGCCCGGACGGATGCGGACCTGGATCTACTTCTGTATCCGTTGCCAGTCGTCATAGTCGTCGATTATGACGACTGGGGTCGCGCCTGCGCTGTGACTTCTCCTCAGTTCCTTACGCAAGCGAATTCGAATCGAACCGTATCTGTGAAAATCGTGAATCTCAAATCTCTTTTAATGTCCTCGAACAGTATTGTTGAACCTACTCCGAACCCAAGGATCAGACGCAGGTGCGACACCCAAACCGAATTTGGCGCTCAAATAGACTTATTTAGACGTTTTTAGGTACTCGAATTGATGAATTTTGTTGGCCGTGTGCGTGTTTGAGAAACGCAGCTGCACAAGAAACTTGCCATATCTGTTTAAGATTTGTTAACCAATTTTTTATCGTGTAACTCGTTTTGTTTTCCTCTGGTCCAAGCAAACTAGCAACAGTAATCTAGCAACAATGCCACCAAAGCCACATGCAACACAAACTAGTCCTCACCGCCCACTGAGATATCTGGAACCCATAACAATTCGGCTACTGCTCGGTGTAAGACAGCAATACTAACAATAATCTAAACGTATTCAGCATAAACACATGTATGAACTAATCGAATAATCAACTATTTATATAGCGTAGCCTATCCCCGAATCCTTCCCGATGATTGTAACGATTGTAACCTACAATATCACGGCGGACCCACGCCCAATTCATGTTAGATTTAAGCATCCAGAATATCGTTCGGCAGCTTTCCGTTTGTCGCATTTTGTTTGAGACAAAAGATATACACCCGTTTTATCATTTATTTAAACTCTCATTATTTAGCATAAGTTTTATGTCCCGACCACCGCTTTATGAATATGTAACCAATTGCATTTTAAGCACCTCGAGTTTTCTGATTTTAGTTCAGCACTACACGATTGGTGTTTCCACCATCATTTATATTCGTATTTATGTTTACCTGGTTTCGGTTTGATATTAACATTTCTTATTTTTAGTTTTATATATTATTTTTGTGATATTAGCGTAAAAATCAACTTAAAGAAAAGGCAAAACACTCGAATTAAACTTTTGAAATTATTAAATAAACTACTATCAATATTTAACGCATATCCTTAGTACTTTTAAAGATAGAAAGTTGGGAGAGTGACTTATAATAATTTTAATAAATATTTTATTTCAGAAAAAATACGGTTCAGGTAAAAGTATTTTTAAAACTGAAAGGTAACATATAAATTGATCTGAGTTCTTCATGTGATTGAGAAATAAATTTATATATTTACAAAAAGGACGAAATAGCCAAAACTAAAAATATAGCTAGACAGACAACACTGCTCCAATGAACTGGTTCCTTGGCGGTATATATACGGATTCCCAGCCAAGCAATATGGCGTTGTCTCCGCGTCTGGTCACACTGCTGGCATAGGTTTTTTTTTCGCACAACTCATTATTGTCGAGAAAATCCACGTTTTCGGCCAAAATGACAACCATCGCGGATTTATTTACAAAGTATAATTGCACAAATTGTCAGGATGATATTCAGGGCATTCGGGTGCACTGTGCGGAGTGCGAAAATTTCGATTTGTGTCTGCAAGTAAGTAACTCACACATACACGCTGTCAAGCGACGCACCTACCTTTGTGTGAGTGCGATAGGGTGGGCCAATTTATTGGGGCTCTGAAAAATAATATGTAGATCTTGAATCTACAAAAAATTGACTAGATCAAAATTGTAAATCAGCAAACAAATGTTAACTTTCTGTATGAAAAATAAATGGAAAACAAAAAACCTACAAAAAAGTTCCTTGTTAATTAAAGTATCAATGTAACAAGAATGTAAAACAATACAAAATATAAATAGAAAATATTGAAAAATAGTAATTCCCTTTTGTTTTTATGAAATGCTAGCCCTATATTTTGAGGCATTTTATGAGGGTGACTGAAAATGTGTATGTATCCCAGAGTTCCTTCGCCATAGCTGAGAATTCTGCAAAGATCTTTTCCACCCCTAAGTTTCTTTGTCAACAAAATCGACCCACCCTGATGCACCCATACTCGAGCAGTCTAGAGATGCGTCGCCAATCTGGAACCGAAAAACTGACTCATCTGGAAATACATATGAATACATACACACAGCCGGCAATTTCACCATGTTGATTAAAAAACAGCTGACTTTGTATTTACGTTGTATTATTGTTTATTTTTTTTTGCGCAGTGCTTTGCCGCGGGGGCGGAGATCGGGGCCCATCAGAACAGCCACGCCTACCAGTTCATGGACACGGGCACCTCCATACTGAGTGTGTTCCGTGGCAAGGGGGCGTGGACGGCGCGGGAGGAGATCCGGCTGCTGGACGCCATCGAGCAGTACGGCTTCGGGAACTGGGAGGACATCAGCAAGCACATCGAGACCAAGTCGGCGGAGGACGCCAAGGAGGAGTATGTGAACAAGTTTGTGAACGGCACGATTGGAAGGGCCACCTGGACGCCGGCGCAAAGTCAGCGACCCCGCCTCATCGATCACACGGGCGACGACGATGCCGGTCCTCTGGGCTCCAGTGCCCTGTCCACCCTGCCGCCGCTGGACATCAACTCCGACGAGGCCATGCAGCTGGGCTACATGCCCAACAGGGACAGCTTTGAGCGGGAGTACGATCCCACGGCCGAGCAGCTGATCTCGAACATCTCGCTGAGCTCCGAGGACACGGAGGTGGACGTGATGCTCAAGCTGGCCCACGTGGACATCTACACCCGTCGGCTGAGGGAGCGGGCTCGCAGAAAACGGATGGTCCGGGACTACCAGTTGGTCTCGAACTTCTTCCGCAACCGAAACTATGCTCTGCATCAGGGACTCACCAAGGAGCAGCGAGAGTTCCGGGACAGATTCCGGGTGTACGCTCAGTTCTACACTTGCAACGAGTACGAGCGGCTGATGGGATCGCTGGAGCGCGAGAAGGAGCTGCGCATCCGGCAGGCGGAGCTGTATCGCTACCGCTACAACGGCCTGACCAAGATCGCGGACTGCACCCACTTCGAGCAGCATGCGGCCACTGCAACACATCGATCCTCTGGGCCGTATGGCCACGGGAAGACCGTAAGTGCAAGGCTTCGCTGTGGCGGTTTCGAAATCAAACTATCTTTCGTTATGGGAACTCTAAGATATATCAAAGTTTTGGATTTTCTGTTGGGATAGTTCGATTTCATTCCCCTTTTGCTGCTGGCTTTTCCCCATGAGAATGCATGACGAGTTGAATATCGTGTGTTCTGCCCTGCCTAAACCAACTCTCACAATCGCTTTTCCGTCTTGTCTCACGATATTCAGCTCCACTGCATTATAAACGCGCCAAACAACGAGCGTTCGAATGGTTCTATAAGACAATGTTTAACCACAGGACCTCATGCAACCCTCCAATGGAAGTCATCGGGCGCCAAGCTCTTCCTTGCACTCCCCACAACCGAATCTCAGAAAGGCGTAAGTATTTAGTTGATTCAATTGAATATATTTGATTAATTCTTTGGTTCATTTAGCGAAATGTCAAGCGGCGTCGAGGCAAGTTCAAGTTCAATCGCACCAAGAAACACGCTCCACACCGTCGACCCGACCTGCTCCGGCGCATTATTGCCCAGCAGAAACTACTTGGATAGCTGTCGGGGATCGTCGGCAGCTACGATGCTGCAGACGACGGGGATGGGGATGGCGATGGGAATGGGGGTAACAGTGGACTCGGTAGCGACGACGGGAGCGATTTCCGCGGCTACGACGATGGCGAATCTGCCCACGAACTCGGCGAAGGGCAGCCAACAACATCTGCAGCCGCTGCAGCAGCAGCAGCATCCGCAGCACCTGCAAAGCGGCCACCACAAAATGCAAAACGAGGCCGCCGGCGGAGGCAGTAGTAGTGATCAGAAGCCCAGCATGAGCCTTAAGTTGCGCACCCAGCTGGAGGAGCTGAAGCACCTGCCGCAGCCGCTGGGCAGCGACCTGCTCAGCCACAACGAGCTGGATCTGTGCAAGAAGCACAATATCACGCCCACCACCTACCTCTCGGTGAAGACTGTCTGCCTGAGCGGAGCACCATCGCTGGGCAGTCCCATGGAGACTTCGCTGCGCAAGTTCTTCATCAAGTGCGGCTGGCTGAGCCACTGATAGAATAGTTATCTACCTTCCCGCGCCCCCCTTCGATTAAGAGCTAAACCACGCATTTCTCGATCTAAGGACTTCACTTTATTTTATTATCGTTAGCATAAGTTAAAGACATTTTTATACTGTTCAACTTTCGTTGCCATTTACTTCGAGGTAAGAACTACAGAAAACAGAAAATCAATTTACTTGTATCAAGTCAAGCTCAATAGATAAAGTTTTGTTCCTTTGTGTGAGATGTCTGGGTTCGGATATTCTGTATTAACTAAGCTTAAGTAGGTGACCCCAACCAATTGAATTTGTATGATATGAAGTGTAAATGAAGTAATAAATGTAATAGCGAATGTGCAACAAGGACGCGGACTTGTGTCTCGGAACTAAACCCCGCTAGGATAAACTTGTGAGATGTACAATTTTATGCAAATCGGTAGTTAGCCTCTGGAAGCGACATTGCTGCGCTGAGTATTTATATTTGTGTATTATTATTCAACATAGTAGGTAGATTTCTACGAAAAATTAAAAATTGTGGAATACATTTTTCATTGAGAGTTTATTCTTTAGCAAACATAACTATTTAAATTCAAAAAAGTATTGTTTATTAACATTTTTGGATAATTTTTATAATTAACAGCTTTGAAAAATCATCTAAATGTTCAAGCAAAATGGGTTTTCTTCAACATGAATACAAATCTGTGAACTGCCAACGGTTCAGTCCTAGAAATCTACCTTTTTAGTATCCTAGCTTAGGTTTGTCCATAGAGGCGCCCTTAGACTTACAATCTGTAACCGTATACCTAAAAAAATATATCATATATAAACGGATTTATTCACTTTTTCCTTAAAATATAAACGATGTGATGCTCGGATGCACTGCATCACTTGTTCCGCAGAAAGTAGCGATACAATGTGTTCTTCTGTCCTCCGCTAGCGGTGGTCGCAGTGGCTGGAGGAGCTCCACTTGTAATCGCTGCGGTTGTCGAGGAAGCCGATCCGTTTGTTTGCTCCACTGCTGCCGCAACAAGGGAACTGCGCCACGAGGCGATCAACTCTGTCTGCAACTCCACGGGCAGTTCCTTGAAGACCTCGGCATCCACACCCGCGGGACAGGCGATATTCGTGAGGGCATCCTGCGACGGCGTGCTGGAAACCACCGCTGATGTGCTGACGGGTGAGGGAAAGGACATGGTTGGTGTGCTGGGCGCGCTCATGGCAGTGGAATCGTCCATGGGCGAGGGAAGTGGTGATGAGGCCGTGGAGCTGGCGTTCGAGCTCAAGCGACTGGCAGTGCGCGTGGATACAAAGCGGAGGCTGCCGTCGATTCGCTGCAGCAGCGTATTCGGTGGCTGGACGGTGCGGTAGCGAGGAGCAGGCGCAGATGCAGAAGTAGAGGGCGTGGTGCTCATTGGGTAGTCCTTCTCGCTGTCCCGCGAATTCAGACGCAAATCACAGACGCGCAGTTTGCTGGGCGAAGCTACCTCCGCGGCAGAATCGCCCACATCCGCCGCCAAGCGGCTGCGCTTCGACACCAGCAAACGGCCAATGCGACTCTTTTTCGGCGAGGGCTCCACCTCCGTCTCGGAGAAATCGCTGAAATCCGAGTTAGTGGCCGCCGATTCTGAGCCATTATCCAGCAGCATGGGAACCGGCGATGCCGTGGTGGCTCTCCGCCTGTAAAACTGATCGCTCGGCTTGAATGTTGTCGGTGAGGAGCGGAAAGCGCTTTCATCCGACGTGGGACTCTCCGCTGTGGGACTCGTGAGACTCGTATTTGTCAGTGAGGTGATCGATTGCACCTCCAGATCCGCCTTCTTGATCAGGAAATTGGCTATGGACGAGGAGCCCACCTTGCGCTCCTGGAACTTGGAGAAGGCCAGACCGAGTAGAGTGATATTGAAGGGCTTGCTCATGTCCACGATTCGCTCGAACAGTCGCATCACAATCTTGAGCAGTTTCTCCTGGGCGCCGTCCGCCAGTTGTACCTTGCTCACGCCGGTTTCTCCTGGACACACGGAGCTCTTGAACAAGGAGGGCAGGATGTTGGCCTGTTTGGTCTCTCGGTGGCTGCTCTTCTTCTGGGAGTCAAACTTTCGCAGCACCACCTTGATGGCGATGGGAACGCGACCATCCTCGGCAACCTATGGAATTTAAAGTGGAATGCGTAAATTAATTAATTAAAAGTTAGAAATTAGTTTTAGGCCTACCTGCTCCACCAGCCGCTTGAGTAGCATGCGGAACCGCTCCTCCACATCGGTTCGCACGGAGATGGGCTTGCAGGCATCCTCCATTCCAATGGTTTTTGGTTTTCCCGTGGGTCGCACCGAACTCGTGTCCCGACCGAAGGCCAGATCCCGCAGTCGAGTGGCCGTCTCGAAGCCACATTTCTTTCGCATCACGTCCATGTCGCACTGCTGCAACTGCTCCACCGACGACATGCCCGCCTCCAGCAGAAGGCACTGCGTCTTCTGGCCAATCCCAGTGATTCGCTTTAGGTCGCCTAGTTCCCGCATAAACTGCTCCGCATAGGTGGAAACAAGGACGGTCTGCTGATTGGGTTTGTGGCTGCTGCCGACCAGCTTGGCCAGCAGTTTGTTGTAGGCGATGCCGGCGCAGCAGGTGATGCCCAGTCGGAGCTTGAGTTCCTCCCTTATCTCCTGGGCGATCCGAGTGCCAATGGCCAGCCGCTGGGCACAGCCGCAGTCGCAGGCGGACAGGGGAGTGCCATCCGCCGGGTATGTGTGACCCACTGGGGGTTTTAGCTGCGCCTCGGCGACATGGGCCTGTCGCAGCTCCACCAATGCAGTTACATCCATAAAGTTCTCGTCGAAACCGAGCTTCTCCACCAGCGGCGTGTAGTTGAGCAGCAGATCGAAGATTCTCTGCGACATCTGGCGATACGGGGCGAGATCCTCTCCGTTGACCAGAACCAAGTCCGGACAGATGCGCTGCGCCTCCGCAATGAGCATTAGCTTGGCCACTCCTTTGGCCCGCGCCACATAGTTGCAGGTGACCACAATGTTCTTCTGCTGAATCCCCAGAGCCTTCGATCGCAGCGTAGGATCCCGAATCTCCTCCACCTGAGCGTAGAAGTAATCCATGTCCAGGTGGATAATGGTGCGCTGGTGCGCCTCGCTTTTGCCGAGCACGCTGGCGAAGTCCATGACGGGTTTGAGCGCCTGCAATTGCGAAAGGTCATGAAATAGAACTCAAAGAGATTAGTATACGGAAGTGCTGTCGGCTAAGAAATACCCTGTTTTGCATATAGAATATAGAAATCGGGACAAAATATAAATACGAATTTATTTTTTAATTCTGCCTAAGGAACTGTAAAATAAAGTATTTTAGGTTACAATGTTAAATAAATAATAAATAAAAAAAATTTTTAATATATATTAAAAAATAAAATAGTATTTATTTGCAAAGTTTAAGGAATAATTGATATTTTTTGAACATTAATCGTCACTAAATTGTTAAGAGAAGTCGCTGAGGTTGCGCTCGTCACCTGATTTTGGACTCATTAGGTTTTATTCATTCTATACTGGGTTTAAGGACCTTACAAACTGCTTGTCTAGTTCAGCACACCCTTATTTTTGCAGGGTATTCTGATGCAAGTTGGGTGGCTGGCGGTGAAACAAAGCAAAAAGAGAGAGCGGGAGAGAGAGTGCACGAGAGAGTTCGGGTGCTCCGCTGGATGTGAAATCTGCTTCTGCTGGCCACTGTTGCTCGCAGTTTCTTCCTCTTCCACTGGCGCCGCCGACTTTCTAATCAAACATTGCGAAAAACATTCGAGCCAAACGCCAACGCGCACACACACAACCCAGAATCGAGTGCCGGCTAAACAATTACGGCGGGCCACAACAAAATATTGCACAAAGTTGACTGTTTGGCGATGACGCATTAGTTTGTGTTCGAGAAAACAACGGATTTTGCACGCGCCTTCGAGCTGCACGCCCTCAAACACTATTCCCCACCACAACTCACCGGGGTTCGCGAATACACGATTTAAAGCCTAAATGCTCGCACCTGCAGCAATTTATTACTTTTAATTGGGGTTTATATTTACCTTAAAAACTAGGGATGGATGTGTCGATTACTTTGGTTTTCCGTTATCGATATGTGACACTTATTGCTGTTTCAACTCTGGGTTTGGTACTATGCTAAATAAAAGAGAGGTGTAGACATTCGCTAAACGTAAAAACTTAGGTTCAATCCGTCGCTAGTTTCCTTGGCGTTGCCACTCTGGCTTGAAATAATGTTTAACTGACAAACTAATATGTTACCGTTACTAATTTGACCCATGATTTTTTGTTTAAGAACTAATTGCGTTTACAAAACACATAATTTTATTGTAAAAGCAGTGCGTTAAGTGATTAAGTCCCCACCAGAAGACTATTTCAGACCTTTTAACAAGCCAATCTGCTTTTTTGATAAACAATAATGTTCTATACTGAGCATTGTTTCATCTACGCAAATGTATCTGGAATGTCTGGTTTTATATTATTTCTAAACGTGCTAATCAAAAAAAACAATATTATGATAAATTATTAATACTTTTTTTGTACACAATCGTAAACCGAACTAGGAATACTTTAATGCTGTTTAATATGAATTATGTAAAAAATAAAACAAAAATAAAATAGAACAGGAATAACAGGACACAGGAATAATTTGATCTATTTCAACTATTTCATACAGTTACATTTTATTGATTGATAAATAAATTATAAAAAGTCAATAGGAAAGGGAAAAAATTACATATCTAATAATAATGAGTACACAAAAATAAAGTAAACAATCATAAAAACTTTTTAGCCATCACTAAACTTATTTGTCGTTATTAGTCGTCAGAGGTTTGAAACCAGTTTGGTTCTACTTTCATGGTATAAAAAGGCGGATCAAACTCTAGAGTCCATCACAAACTTTAACAATGAAGATCTTTGCTGTCTGCGCTTTCCTTCTACTCGCCCTTGCATCCGTTCAGGGCGAGCCCAAGCCTTTTGACAAAAATGTAATCAAAAGTACCCAAGGAAAATAAATAAAATGAATTTCGTTGAAAGAAACCGAATAAACAATTTGAATTCATATTGAAATACATTAATTTTTTAAAATATGTTGTGGGTATTAATCAATGAGACATGAAGTGACAAAGGGCACATGGAGAGTGTGCGATGGGGTTTAAAAATCTGCTGTGACGGTCCGATCCTAAAGAGTGGTCATCCAATCGAAAGGTATCGCAAAAACTACTAGGATTGCATAAGAAGAGTTTAAGATTTATTGCAATTTGTCAACTTTCCGGATGTATTACAGGCAAACGGATTCATTGTTTGTTTTGATTTAAAAGTTTTCTAAAAGTGACACTCTTTATATTTTGAACTCCGTACACGGAATTATTTTACGATTTTTTTTAAGGTGAGAAACAAATTTAAGAAAACATAGTAAAAAAATCAAAGACAAAAAGTAAAGAAACAAAATTCCAAATCAAATAAAAATGAGTACACAAAAATAAGGTAAACAATTATAAAAACGTCTTAGCAATCACTAAACTTATTTGCATCCTTCTAATTAAACAATAATAAAGTCGTCTTAGCATTAATAATATTTAAATGTTCGGGGGTTTGAAACCAGTTTGGTTCTACTTTCAGGGTATAAAAAGCCGAATCAAACTCCAGAGTGCATCACAAACTGCTACGATGAAGATCTTCGCTGTCTGCGCTTTCCTGCTCCTCGCCTTGGCCTCCGTTCAAGGCGAACCCAAGCCCATTGGCAAATCTGTACTCACAAGTACCCAAGGAAAATAAATAAATTTCATTGAAAGAAACTGAATAAACAATTTGAATTTATTTTGAAATATATTATTTTCTTAAACTTTTTTGTGGTTATTAATCACTGGGGACATAGAGAACAAGGAGAGAGGGATTACTATATAGCCGTAGAATTTAAAATATGCTGTGATGGTTCGATCAAAAAGAGTAATAAACCAATTACCTGTTAAAATTAAACGGTTTGCATATAGTCTTTAAGATGATCAGGGTTTACAGGGTTTGCTAATCACGCTACCTCAAGATAGTTGGTTTAAATACATAAGACACAATTTATAACCAACATGGGTTACTTGGAAAGTATGTAACAGAAGAAAGCGTTTCGGACCCTACTTATAAAGACCATATCGAAACATTATATGTCCGTCTGTCTCTCAGTATAAACATTGAGATTAATAGAACGCCTGCAACACTAATATCTGTTTAGCCCCCAAATGTTTAAAGATTTTTTGAAAGTGCAAATGCGATTTTAATATGTTTATCAATATTCATTGACATGTTCGAATTTGACTAAGATAAACAACAACAAGTAAGCAATAATAAAATCGTCTTAGCAAATATGCAAGTATTGTTTGATCATTGGCATTATTATCATTACCATAATAAATTTGCAAAATGAAAACCAGTAACAGTAAAATTTAAGAACAAAACTGGTCCATTTTTCGGGGTATAAATAGGCAGACATTCTCTCAAATAGCATAACAAATTGACACGATGAAGATCTTCGCTCTGTGTGCCTTCCTGCTCCTCCTAGTGGCTGCTGTCCTGGCAAATCCCGAGCCTATTGAGGGCAAGCTTGCCAAAAAGCTGGCTGGCTAAGCAGATATCCAAGATTTTAACCGAAATATTAAATAAATAATATAAAATAAAAACACTTTACTTAGGTTATTCTTCTTTATTGTATAAAGTTTATACCCTTGGTTTTAATGTTTCTTATGTACCTTTGATAATCCAAAAAAATATGAAAATTTACATATATTGTCCAGAACTTGTATAATCGAGTCTGGTTTAACAATTGCGCTGTTGGTATAAAAAGGCTTTTGCTTTTCTCAGATTGAGTTGAAAGCAACCAGAATGAAGATCTTCGCTTTTTGTGCTTTTCTGCTCCTCGCAGTGACTGCCGTCCTGGCAAAACCAGATCCTTTAACTCCAAAGACTATAAAAGTTGTTCACTGAACTAATAAAGTAGAATTGCAGATAACTCATCGCATTTAGCACACTGATGAAATTAAAAGCGAACTGCAAAAAAAAAAGAGATATTTATTGAAAGCTAATTAGCATTGTCGTAGTACAAATAAAATGTATTTGTTTATCTCCAAAAAAGCAACCTGTTTTATTTTAAAATAAATTTTTTAAGGCTAATAGATGCAAAACGACGTAATAAATTTTTTTAATCTTTATTAAAGTGGTAAATTAAATTAAGAAACGAGTCGAGGTTGAATTTTTGCGACGGTGTTTATAAAACTGCGATTTGCCGCCTCAGAGTGAATCGCAAGCCGGAGGAATAAAGTTCTAAGCTCTGTTCGGATGTAGAAATTTTTATCATCTGTCTTATTAAAGGGAATAAATTGTTTATATTTTATAGATATGATGTGATACAAATCTTGTTCAATTTAATATATCTAAATTATATCCCAGCTTAATTTGAAAGTACAAGGTGTACTAAATCTTATAAAAGTACTTTTTGATAGCATTTTTGGGCTGTGAGCATCGCATGTCAGCGCATTTGTTGTTATTACAATAATTTTACGAGTGGCCAGCCGCGATTTTTAATGATATTCATGAGTTTTATATTGGCGCAGTCTTCAACAAGATAAAGGCGCGTACCGAAAAAAGAAGAGATATACCTACCATATAATAAAATAAAAGCACCACCACCCCAGGTGGGTGGGTCTCGAGTGGGGGAAGTGGGGGGCGTGGGCTCGGTGGTTCGGTGGTGTGGTCACGCGCTTTCATGCCCGCCAAGAATGTGGGGCAGCTCAGCTTTATGGCCATCGTTTGTGGTATTGCCTGTGGTTGTGGTGTCGTATGAAATGCGCTCGGAATTCGCCAGCAGCAGAATTGAAGCAGAAAAAAAAATGAAAATATATATATATATATCGGGCAGACCTTCGCCTTGTTGTCCACTCCTCCCAGATCCCTGCTGCCCGTCGTCCTGCGCCTGTGATAATCGCCCCGCTGGCTGCCTGACAGGCAAACAATGCTGTGAATTTGATTAAAATCAGCCAGCGTGTGCGTCTCCACTTGGCTGCTCCTCGAGCTCCTTCGGCCGCCCCAGACTTCTGTCGTTATTGGAGCACTCCCCGGCCACATATAGAATACTAAACCCGGCCCATGACCATCTCGTTTGCTGCCCCACTCAGCTGCAGGCGCTGCTGCGGTGGTTCCACTAATTGCGAATCGCCAAATTTGGCCTGGGAAAGTCTCCCCCCAGCCGCTGAAAATATTGCCGTTTTAAAGTAGCTCATGCTTGATTTGGACTGCAATGTATAACCATCATTAGGGGGCTCTGATGATGGGATGATGGGAGGCTGGGGGCGGGAAAATGTATTTCTTTATGCGTTGCAGTGGCTGCTAATGAGCTGCAGCTGCCAGGACGACATTTGTGCCTCTTTTTCTGCCCCTTCATGCAAAAAAATAATAGGATCCAATATAAAATAAATAATATTTAATTGAATGAAATAAATTCTGAAAAGTTTAAAACAAAGGTAGAGTAAGCAATCCATTTTAAATAAATTACAGAAAATTGTTTAAATTATTTATTTTAATTTATAGTTGATTGCAATTTTTTCTAAACTTCCAAAAAAAGTTAAACATCTAAATAAAGTAAAACAAGATTGAATCAATTTCTTTTGTATTTATTTTTATTTCTTAAAAATATATTATACTTACACATTTTACATTTTTAGTAAGCTAAGCTTTTCGCAGTGCTCGTTCCTCCGCTGGCTTCTTGTGAATTTGCAATGAGACTAAAAGCTAATTAGTTGCCGGGATTTCTGCCCAACCTGCTCTGTGGAACCATCCTTCTTTCCTGCTCTTCCAGTGCAGCGTTAATTTTTCCTCTGGATTGCACACAGGAGCCTCTTCAGATGAATGGTTTGGGTGGTGGTGGGGTCTTTTTTTCTGGGGGGCAGAGTTTCCACCAGGATCATCCACACGGCGAAGCGAAACGGATGTTCTCGCGCAGCGGTGGCTCCGGTCCCGATTTACCCCCCGTCCACCCGCTTTCCCACTTCCCACACCCACACCCACCGCCAGGTCATCCTGAATCTCGCTTTTCCTGCC